CTCAGTTGTGGTCTGTGGAGAGCATGCCACATTGGAAATGTAGACAGAGACTAGTTTGGGCATACCCTGCCCATACTTCTAAAAGCAAGACAGCTGCCTGCCTGCCTGCCCAACTGCCCAAAGTATCTCACTAAGTATATTAGGAATATACTTTTTGGTATAAGATCATTTGGCATCTCAATAGAGATCTTTTTCTTCCTTAACTTCTTTTATTATTAAGGAGTTGTACAGAAGCGTTATAATTCCATACGTCAGGTAAGTTAGTACAGTTCTTCTCAGACGATGTCACCTCTTCCTTTGCTTTCCTTCAGTTCAATAGGGATTTCAAACAAAAGGGAGCCCCAGTGCTGCATTGTGTGCTTCCATTAGTGGCCTGAGGGAATGAAATTGTACCACATTCTGCCCTAAAGTTGTGGTACGGGGTGGCCATGCAAAACAGCTATACGAACAGCATGCTTGAAGCCTTGGGTTCAATTCTTCAGCACTACATAAACAGAAAAAGCTGGGAGTGGTGCTGTGGCTCAAGTGGCAAAGTGCTAGCCTAGAGCCTAAACAGTGCCCAGGCCCTGAGTTCAAAGCCCCAGGACTGGCAAAAACGAAACAAAAAACCAGGTAAGATTTCTGGTTTGGACTACTTCATGGAATATCCCATGTTCTGGGGAGCTGGCTATGGAAGTCTAGAACCTAAGGTAGGAGTCCTGGCGGGCTGGAGAAATAGGAAGTAATCAGGAAATGGCTGGTCTATGTGAGTCACAGCAGTAGCTGAGTTTACCCAAGTTACATGAAGCTTGCGGAAAGGAGTGCAGAATGTAAGAGACGGGACTTTTGTTGTCTCCGTCCTGGAGGCTCTGAGCCTGAGAGGGTGCTGGCAGGGCTGGCTGCTTCTGACGCCTCTCCATGGCCTCCCAGACCAGATGTCCTTCTCCTGTCACATGGTCTCTCTTTGTGCATGTCCTTCGTCTCCTCCTCCTTCATTAGAACACCTGTGTCATACTGTGTAGCTTCTGCATCGAGCCTTCTGACTACATGCTATCTTAATTCCCGTTGAAGGGGCCGGGGCTAGGGCCTTGGTGTGTGTCTCTTTACAGGCAGGACACAGTTCAGCCTGTTAATACTCAGGAGTAGAATTTTGGGTTGAAGATTTAGTTTAGCACTAAGAGCTTTTAGTGCTTTCACAAGTGTGAAATGCTCTGGATTTGATCAACACACACACACACACACATTTAATGATAGTGGGCCAGAATTAGTGCATACAAACCTAGCACACACACACACACACACACACAAACACACACACACACGTTTAATGATAGTGGGCCAGAATTAGTGCATACAAACCTAGAACCTTCCTTCAAAGCAGGACCCAGAGGAGAAAGGCACACTGAAGGCTGTCTCAGGCCAGGCAATGTCATCTTGACATCTGAACTATTGCCTGATGAAAAATACTTACGTGAATACTATAGCTTTTAACACAGAGTAACTCCCAGTGCTGTGGTATGATTAATAACATCAGAAATTCTGAAAACATGGGTCTGGGAAGGTGGCTCAGTGGTAGAGTGCTTGCCTTGCATGCCTGAGGCCATGGGTTCGATTCCTCAGCACCCCATAAGCAAAAAGAAAAAAGCCGGAAGTGGCGCTGTGGCTCAAGTGGTAGAGCGCTAGCCTTGAGCTGAAGAGCTGAGGGACAGCGCCCAGGCCCAGAGTTCAGGCCCCACGACTGGACCCAAAAAAAATAAAGAAATTCTGAAAACACAGTGGGTTTCTCCTTCTCTACTGAATACTTTTCAACATAGTTTGTGTGTTTGGAAATACCAATTTTTTTTTTAATTATTAACTAAAAGAAAATAAGGAAACAGCTATTCGTCCCTTGTCAGCTGAATGCTTTCTGGATTTTGTTTTGTGGTACTGCAGAATGAACCCAGACCCTTGTGCATGCATGCTAGGTAAGTGTTCCACCCCTCACCCATTTTGAGGTGTTTTGTTTTGGGGTTTTTTTGGCCGGTCCAGGGGCTTGAACTCAGCTTAGGGGCTGTCTCTGAGCTCCTTTTGCTCAAGGCTAGCTTTCTACCACTTGAACCACAATGCCCCTTCTGGCTTTTTCTGTGATTAACTGGAGACAAGAGTCTCAGGACTTTCCTGCCCTGGCTGGCTGCAAACTGCGATTCTGAGATAGATCTCAGCCTCCTGAGTGGCCAGGATTACAGGCGTGAGCCACTGGCATCTGACCCCCTTTGAGTTTTTGTTTTTGTTTGCCAGTTCTGGGGCTTGAACTCAGGGCCTGGGCACTGTCTCTGAGCTTCTTTTGCTCAAGGCTAGTATTCTATCACTTTGAGCCACAGCACCACTTCCTGCCTTTTCTGTTTATGTGTTACTGAGGAATCAAACCCAGGGCTTCATGCATGCTAGGTAAGCACTGTACCACTAAGCTACATTCCCAGCCCCTTTTGAGTTTTGAGACAGCCTCTTACTACCTTTCTTCCCTGGGTTGGCCTTTCATTCATTCTTACCTCCATCTCCCCAGTAGTTGGTACAGGCATGTGTCACCATTCCTGGACTAATGTACTATTTACTTATCTTGTTTCCTCTGATATTGATACAGGTTGAACTGAATTCCACATGTGATACACAGTGGGAAGAAACAGTAAGCAAAGAAATGTCTTCCTCCTCTTACAGGCATGCCGGGGAAACCAGCATGATGTGCCTGTCATTCCTTTGGATGTGGTGGACCATCAGACAGACCGGCTAGACAACAACATAACAGAGGTCGATGCAGCCTCTGTGTACACACTGCCAGCTGGAGCCGACTTCCTCATGTGCTACTCCGTTGCTGAAGGTGAGTGGGTGTTTCCTGCAGTAAGACTGTCATGGCCGCTCCTGACTTCCCCTAGGAGTGAGCTGGGTCAGGTTTTTTGAGATTGAATCACCACATCCCAACAAGTCCAAGATGTAGAAGAGCTTTCTTTGATCAGATGGCACAGAGATAAAAGTATAGAAAAAGAAAAAAGTCAGATGCCAGTGGCTCATGCCAATCCTAGCTACTCAGGAGACTGAGATCTGAGAATCACAGTTCAAAGCTAGCCTGGGCAGGAAAGTCTGTGAGACTTATCTCTAATTAACCACCTAAAATCCAGAAGTGGAGTTGTGGTTCAAGTTGTAGAGTGCTAGCCTTGAGCACAACAAAAACTCAGGCACACTGCCCAGACCCTGAGGATAGGCACAAAATAAAAAAGTATAGGAAAAAATCATTTCTGCAAACTCTTGACTAAGTAACAATATTTAAATGCTACCACTGCTGTCAATTCCGAGACATGGTAGTCACAGGACACCTTGTTGAGAAATGTTTTGATAAAAGAATGTCTTCTAGCTAAGCTCTAGCCTTGTCACACTCCCTGAAAATTCCCATCTTCAGACTTTTCTCTCAGAAATAGAGGAAATTTAAGTTCCTTCATGGACACATCTTAGTCTTTTCCAGGGATCTTTGAGAACTTGGACTTGTACAGAGATGAATGAGAATGGTGTTCCTCTGTCGTTAGGAACTGAAAGAAAACTAGTTTGCCTCTCTCCTTCTCCTGTTTTAGGGTACTACTCTCACCGAGAAACTCTGAATGGCTCCTGGTACATTCAGGACTTGTGCGAGATGCTGGGAAAATACGGCTCCTCCTTAGAGTTCACCGAGCTCCTCACCCTGGTGAACAGGAAGGTATCTCAGCGCCGAGTGGACTTCTGCAAGGACCTAAGTGCCATCGGCAAGAAGCAGGTGCCGTGCTTTGCCTCCATGCTAACAAAGAAGCTTCATTTCCTCCCCAAAAGCTAGGAAGTAGAGGCTGTTTTATCTATATTCATATTTACCTTTTCTACCTAGGTTGAACTGTATATGGTCTAGCGATTTAAAATGTTTCTGGGTCAGAGTTTAATGCCTAGCAGAGAAGTGCCTTTTAAAAATAAAAAAATAGTTCATGGACATGGCAAAAGGGTTTGAAATGAAGTCCTCAGGAAATACTGTACATACCGATCTATAAGCATTTTTAGTAAACTGCAAATATAAACAGTAGATATATGCCTGATAGAACTTCCATTTTATATGTAGAATTTATAATGTTTTTCAACAGTTTCACAGCCTAAGAATGATTCCTTTAAGATATTGAGAAATCATGTTTATAAATTTAATTCCTGTTGGAAATTGTTTTATGAATTTTGTAATTCATATTCTTGCTCATGTTATTTATGGTGGACTTGTTTTTCTGGGTCAAATGTTTTACTATTACTGTCTCATATACAAAATGATTCATAGAATGACTTTTTTTTGTGCAGTCCCTGAACAATTTTGTGCTCAAGACTAGTGTTTGACCACTTGAACCACAGCACCACTTCCAGTTTTTGAGTGGTTAATTGGAAATTAGAGTCTCACTTTTCTGCATGGGCTGGCTTCGAACTGTGATCCTCAGATCTTAGCCTCCTGAGTACCTAGGATTACAGGCATGAGGCACCGGTGCCAGGCTATATGACTCTTTATACTTTAAAAATTAATGTACAAGCTGGCTGGTGGCTCACACCTGTAATCCTAGCTACTCAGGAGGATGAGATCTCAGGAGGATGAGATCTGAGGATCATGGTTCAAAGCCAGGCCCAAAGTCTGTGAGACTCTGCTCTCCAATAAAACCGGAAGTGGTGTTGAGGTAGAGCGAGAGCCTTGAGCCGAACAGCTCAGGGACAGCGCCTAGGCCCCGAGAGCAGACCAAAAAACAGTTTTATGGCATTCTGATAAAATATAGTATGTAGTAATTCTTAGGAATCTGTTAGCATCAAGAGCCAACTACACAATTACTGCATTTTTTTTTTTTAAATTAACAAAGGATTGTTCCAAATCACTTCCCAGCATGGCATTTTGGCGAGGGACTGGCTGGGGGGAAGTCTAGGCAGCAGGCACTGCTTGGATGGAGCCCACAGACCCTGTGTAACATGGAAGTCAGGCAAGCCTGTAAACCAGGAGCCTCACGTGAGAACTTCTCACAAGACTTCTGTTTCTCCAGATTTATTAACTCACCTATGAAACCCCCACATGTCTTATTTTTAAGTTACAGATGAATACATACAGGAGAAATCCAATGATGCTTAAAAAGGCAAGGATTCAATGAATTCTCCAATAGAGGGCATGGCGGACCCGGTCCAGGGATTCTGTAGCCTGTTGTGGGAAAAAGAAAAGGCATTGTAATCTGACAGAATAAGGGGCAAATGCCAAAATTAAATTTTTTTTTGGGGGGGGGGGCGGTCCAGTCGTGGGGCCTGAACTCTGGGCCTGGGCACTGTCCCTCAGCTCTTCAGCTCAAGGCTAGCGCTCTACCACTTGAGCCATAGTGCCACTTCCGGCTTTTTTCTTTTTGCTTATGTGGTGCTGAGGAATCGAACCCAGGACCTCATGCATGCAAGGCAAGTGCTCTACCACTGAGCCACCTTCCCAGCCCCCCAAATTAATTTTGTATGGTTATTTTTTTTTACTGTATTGAGGCCCTAGCAAGCACTCTTATCCTTACATTTTGCTTCTTCAGCTCAATGTATATATATAATTTTGGTTTTTTGTTGTGAGGCTTGAACTCAAGGCCTGGGCACAGTCTTTGAGCTCTTTTGCCCAAAGCTAAGCACTCTACCACTCTTAGCCATAGCACCACTTGAGTTTTCTGGTGGTTAACTAGAGAGAAAGAATCTCAAAAGCCAGGCACTGGTGGCTCACTCCTGTAATGGTAGCTGTTCAGGAGACTGAGATCTTAGGATCATGGTTCCAAAGCAGCCCAGGCAGAAAAGTCCCTGTGAGACTCAAAACCTGGAAGTGGCACTATGGCTCAAGTGGTAGAGCACTAGCCTTGAGCACAAAGAGGCTCAGGGACAGTGCCCAAGCCCTGAGTTCAAGCCCCACAGCCGACAAAAAATAAAGTTTCACAAGCTTTCCTGCCCAGGCTGGCTTTGAACCATGATCCTCAGGTCTCAGCTTCTTGAGTAGCTAGGATTACAGGTGTGAGCCACCAACACCCAGAACAGCTCATATTCTTGATCTCATAAATTACCTGCTTCCTTTTTTCTAGTTAGTTGATTGCCTTGAAAAAAGTGCACAGACTGAAGATAACACCCTGTGAAATAACATTCCTTAAGAGAATCTACAAAGTATAATTACTGGTTTCCTAGGCAACAATTATGTATGTCTTTAATTTCAGGGAGGGGTAGTATTGCCCCTCACCCCCCAACACTGACACTATACCACTCAAGCTACCTACCTCTGTTTCCCTAGGTTTTTGTTTGTTTTGTAGTTTGCCAGTCCTGGGGCTTGAACTCAAGGCCTGGGCACTGTCCCTGAGCTTCTTTTGCTCAAGGTTAGCATTCTACCACTTGAGCCACAGTGCTACTTCTGGCTTTTTCTGTTTATGTGGTACTGAGGAATAGAACTCAGGGCTTCATGCATGCTAGGCAAGCACTCTGCACTAAGCCACATTCACAGCCATGGGGTATTTTTTTTTTTTTTTTGGTTGGTTGTGGAGCTGGGCCTGGACTCTGTCCCTGAGCTCTTCAGCTCAAGGGTAGTGCTCTACCATTTGAGCCACAGCACTACTTCTTGTTTTCTAGTAGTTAATTGGAGATAAGAGTCTCCTGGACTTTCCTGCCCTGGCTGGCTTTAAGCCATGATCCTCAGATCTCAGCCTCCTGAATAGCTGGGATTACAGATGTGAGCACTGGCGCCCAGCTATTTTTTTTCTTAAACCAAAATTTTTTAAGAAAAAGGAAGCTAAGTGTGGTAGTGTACACCTATAATCCCAGCACATTGGAGACTGAGGATTTCAAGTTCAAAGCCATGGTGGCACTCTGCCTCAAAAAACCCTAAGAATTAAAATTGTGTTCCATGTTGAGAAATAATCTGAACAAAATGTGTGGAAAGGTCAGAAGTTGCCTTAAAAAAAAAAAAGACACTTGATGGACTTGAAGCTACACCCATTCCATGGGTCATTTCACGGACCCCTCACTTCCTACTAGTGCACACAGCTGGGTGAGTGGTGCTAAGAACACATTTCCTCATCTGAGAGGAATACCAAGTAAGTTTAAAATCCACCACCGCAGGGTTTGCATTCCTAAAATTCTACTTTGTATTTGCTTAGAAACAGGTTTCTATTGAAAACATGCATCTTACTATCACAAGTAGAGATACTTGTGTACACATTGAAAGTGTAGGAGCCTCTGGGATGGGGAGGGGTGTGGTGGCTCATACCCAAGGAAGCATGAGCCTTTGCATAGAGCAATGACCTATCTCAAAAACAAGCAATGCAGGGGCTGGGAAGATGGCTCAGTGGTAGAGTGCTTGCCTTGCATGCCTAGAATGCTAGCCTTGAGCTGAAGAGCTGAGGGACAGCCGCCCAGGCCCAGAGTTCAGGCCCCACCACCGGACCCGAAAAAAAAAACAAGCAATGCAAAAAGGGCTGGAAGTGTGGCTCAAGAGGTAGAGCGAAGCCAGGCGCTGGTGGCTCATGCCTATAATCCTAGCTACTCAGAAGGCTGAGATCTGAGAATCGTGGTTCAAAGCCAGCTTGGGCAGGAAAGTCCATGAGACTCTTATATCCAATAACCACTAGAAAACCAGAAGTGGCACTGTGGCTCAAGTGGTAGAGCACTTGTCCTGAGCTGAAGAGCTGAGGGACAGTGCCCAGGCCCAGAATTCAAGCTCCACAACCAACAACAACAAAAAAAGAGGTAGAGCAGCCATCTAGCAAGTGTGACACCCTGTGTTTAAACCCCAATACCACCAAAAACAAACCCTGGAACACTCTCCCCCCTGACACCCCAAAAAAAGCTATGGTGGTATCAGAGTACAAAAGATGGTAAGAATAGGCTATGAAACTACTATGAGGTATGTCATCCACTTTGCTCAATAATCCCCAAACACACAAATACAAGGCTTAAACCTTTCAAGACGATCCAGCCTTTGCCTTATTTCCCCACACCAAGCTCTGGTTCCAGACAAAACCAGCGTAAGATGTGTTCGCAGGAAGATACCTTCGCCAGGTCTTCTTTCAACCTGTTGTACTTCTCCACATCAAAATGCTTCTGTTGTGATTTCTTGTGGAAGAACTGAAGAAACTGCCTACTCCTCATGGATGTATAAGTATAATTCTAAAACAAGAAAAGAATCCAACAGGGTTTGAATGCCTGAGAAAGGCAATCCACGGAGCAGAAGCCAGCACAGGTTGATCATGAGTTTTCTCTGAGATCAGCGACTCCTAAGAGCAAGCAAGCTGAGCTAAGAAAATTGTACATAATGGAAAGAAAAGAAAAAAATGACGGTTCTTCTGGCAAAACATCCATGAGCTAAAGTTACAGGGTGTTTTGCAACACAAATTCAATGTTAAATTGTTGTGTGTGTGTGTGTGTGTACACGCACACATGCACGTGTGCACCCCAGTAGTGGGGCTTGAACTCAGCCTCACACTCATTGGGTTTTTTTTTTTTGTGGTAGCATTACCATTCAAGCCATGTCTCCACTTCTGTTTATCTTTTTTTATTTTGTATTTTTTCTGGTTAATTGGAGGTAAAAATCTCTTGGATTTCAGTGCCAGGTTTCAAACACTGATCTCAACTTCATGAAGAGCTAGAATTTTCTGTGTGAGACACCTGGCTTTTGATGTTACTTAGAATAATGAAACAGAACATAAACATGACAAATTTGCCACAAATGGATTCACCCATCTAAGTTATATATGATTTCCCTGTGCTGTAAAAACTCTTCAGCCTTATAGACAACAATAATAAGGTACCAACTTCATGAAAACTCAGCCAGCAGTAACTAAATCAAAAGGTTTATTGCTTCTCACTTGACTTGGATAAAGTGGACTTTACAAAGATATTCTCACTTACCGGTTTTGCCAACTACTCACCTGTCGCGTGGTTATAAAGTATGCAAAAAAGACCATGGAATTCGCAAATGTGAGGAAGTATGTGACCGGTTCCATGATATCCCAGGAGTACACCCACCAGGTGAGCCAGGCCAGAGCCCCACCCTGCACGGAGAGCAGCGCTAAGCCAGCCCACAGGAGGCTGCTGGTTCTGGCTTCCGACTGAGCTTCGATACTAGCTTTCACCTGGGGTAGGAAGAGCCATTAATTCAAGTTACAAGCACACCAACTTGGGCAAGAAGAAAAGCAGCGTTTGAACCAGTGCACATTGTGGTTTAGCCAAAGTTGTACTTTGGTTCAAAATGTTGCTTAAAGAGATCAGGCATATAGAAAAACAATCTGCTTACTCATTTCCAAATCAGTTTATTGGAAAAATCTTAGTAACACCCTAAATACTATAGAAAAGTACCTAATGAGCAACTCAGAAGTCATTCTTGGAGAACTGGAATCACAGGCCTATTTTCTTTGACCCAACAGTACCACTTGTAGATCCCATCTCTCCCGTCCCCAGCCTCCTGTTTTTGTCAATCATGGGGCTTGAACTCAGGGCCTGGGCACTGTCCCTGAGCTCTTTGTGCTTGAGTGGTTAACTGGAGATAAGAGTCTCAAGAGAACTTTCCTGCCTGGGCTAGCTTTGAACCATGGTCCTCAGATCTGAGCCTCCTGAATAGCTAGGATTATAGACATGAGCCACTGGTTCTGTCTTAACAGTAAGAGACGATCACATGCTATCAGGATATCCTATGGTAACAGGGAAGCTCTGCCTAGCAAAGGAAAAGGTAAGAATTGACACAGAATTACTCACAGGTGTGGGGTCATAGTAACTGGAGCAACTTTCTAGCCCCAATTCTCGGGAGCAGAGCCTGCGCTGTGAGCTATGACTCCCTGCCGCATCCCTGCCGGGCTTCTCATTTACAGAGATGCCCTCAGCTCTGGGTTCAGACCCCCTGAGTTCACGTGAGTTAAGCTCTCCCTGTGTGCGGTCCATTTCCCTGCCGCCCCACGTCCTCATGGGAACTGAACTCGCAGACGTGGCAGGATGCGAGGGGGAACGGCATGGAACAGCTCAGGTGAGGAGTCCTCGGGGAAACATGACTTTCAAAATGGCCCAACTGTGAAGCTGCCCCACCTGCTCCAGAGGCCGCAGCTGCTCCTGCAGGAGGTCGATTTTCTCCAACAAATGGTGCTCCCTCTTCTTCTGAAACTCTTCTAAGTGCAAGACCGTGAACAGCCTGTGGACCAGAAATTTCACGTCTTCCAGCTCTGCCACGTGCTCATGACCGGGTTTTTCTGAGGAAAGAGCAGGGATGCAGGTGCAGTCACCACACTGCCTTCTCCAGGGGAGGCAGAACACGATCAGAGTTCCTGTACCTGTCTCGCCAGTGCATCCTGGGGATGCACTGGGGATGATCCTGGCCTCTGCTCCTGAGCCCATGACGACAATTTGTAGTGATTAGTTATGGCAACAAGCTTAAGACTCGGTGTTAGCCTTGTCTTTTCTGAGTGCTGTTGCTTTCACAGTAGATAAGGGAGAAAATTAAGGGAGTGTCTGTTGACCAGAAGGCAGGCCATTTCTCCTCGTTTAACCTCAGATCTGAGTGACTCCTGAGCTTGTTTAACCTCAGATCTGAGTGAATCCTAGCTCAGCTAGCTCCATCTTTCCAACAATTATTTCAGGATTCATAGGAGACAGTGGAGCGTATACAGACACAAAAATAAAGGTAAAACACATTTGAAGAGTAGTCTGAGCAGGGTGCCAGTGGCTCAGGCCTGTATACCTAACTACTCGGGAGGCTGAAATCTGAGGATCACAGTTCAAAGCCAGCCTGGGCAGGAAAGTCCATGAGACTCTTATCTCCAGTGAACCACCAGAAAACTGGAAGTGGTGCTGTGGCTCAAATGGTAGAGTGCTCGCCTTGAGCTGAAGAGCTGGCCGAGTTCAAGCCCTACAACGGACTTAAAAAAAAAAAAAAGGTCTGAACTTGTAGGTTCTTTTAACAAGGGAGTCACAACAGAATGTAGATCTGAAAAGTAATTCATATATGCTGTTCTAATTGTATTCTACCCTCACCCCTATACCAAGCCACTTGGGCACAGGATTTTGAGCTGTAAGCAATGGAAAAGTAAACTCTTTGACCTGTTCTGCCTAAAATTATGGCACAAAGTGCCAAAGATCTCCCTTCTCTTATAAAAAAAACCCCATATACTTTAGATCCTTACAGCCTGGAAATGGCATCTGCACAATCTTACTGTACAATCTTACTGGCTTGGATTTCTTTTTTCTGTTTTTGTTTGTTTGGTGCTGGTCCTGGGTCTTCAACTTAGGGCCTGGGCTCTGTCCCTGAGGTTTTTTTTTTTCCTCAAGGCTAATAACACATTATCATTTGAGTCACAGCTCTACTTCTGGCTTTTGGTGCTTAATTGGAGTTAAGAGTCTCACAGACTTTCCTGTCCAGACTGGCTTCAAACTGCAATCCTCAGATCTCAGCCTCCTGAGTAGCCGGCATTACAGATGTGATCCTCAGATCTCAACCATAGCCCAGCTATTTTTTTATCTTTTAATCTGCCATTAAGCAGATCGACTTTACCTTCACCCCCTTTTCTGTCCCTATATATTTTTTGGCTGGTTGGTTTTGCAGTGGTTAGGAATGAACCCAGGACATTGTATAAACTAGGTGCGTACCCTAATCCCTGAGTTACAATCCCCAGCCCCCATAGCATTCGTTCTAGTTTGCCTTCAACAAATCGTAAGAGGTCAGGTGTGGAGTTTTCAGAAAGTTGAATTTTGGAACATTTCAGATTTAAGGTTTTCAGATTAGAATGCATAAGCCTAGCTTCAAATTGAAGCTAGGGCTTCCAGTTTCTAATGTGGTACCCCCAAGGAGCTTAGAAGTCCTTAGTATATCCTGACATCCAACAAAAAGCTGAGAGAACTGGAAAACCTAGCTCAGACCTATAAGAGAAATAAGATCCGAAGGCAAACTACATCCTCCTCAAATGAAGAGAACAGTAGCTACAGAGCACTGCCACTTACTGGAACAGATACCCTCAGCAGCTACCTGCAAGGTTGCTATGCGAACAGGAACACTTGAACTTCACAAGGAACTAGGATCCTCAATGTGGCAATTCAAGTTTGTTTTGCTTTAACTCCATGAACCTCAGACCTCAGCCTCCTGAGTAGCTAGGACTACAAGCATGAGCCATTAGCACTCAGTTTTGAATTTATTTTATTTTGCCAGTCCTGATGCTTGAACTCAAGGCCTGGGCATCTTCCCTGAGCTTCTTTTGTTCAAAGCTAGCACTCTACCTAACACTTGATTCACAGCACCACTTCTAGCTTTTTCTGGGTATGTGGTACTGAGGAGTTGAACCCAGGGCTTCATGCATGCTAGGCAAGCACTCTACCACTAAGCCACATTCCCAACCAGTTTTGTGAATTTTACTGCTAAAAGTGTTCATGGTAAAAATAAAATAAAAAAAAAAAACCCCACCACTAACAACAACAAAAAACTAAGAGAAACAGCCCAGATACCCTACAATGGATGGATACAAAAAATATGAGACTTGGAAGTGGCGCTGTAGCTCAAGTGGTAGAGCGCTCGCCTTGAGTTGAACAGCTGAGGGACAACGCCCAGGCCCAGAGTTCAAGCCCCACGACCGACAAAAAAAAAACAAAAACAAAAACTATATAGAGCACAAAAAATATGAGACCTATGGAACTTCACACAGCCATTAGAAAGAATATTATATCATTTGCAGGAAAATAGATGGACCTAGAACAAATCATTTTAAGCAAAGTAAGCCATTAGGCTCAGAGAGACAAACAGCACCTGTTTTCTCTTATATGTGGAAGCTAGGTCCAATATACATTGGAACATGATAGTTAAATATAAGACCCTAGGATTCACACACAGTAAGACCAAAGGAGGGGATATTACTCTTAGAAGAACACAAAAGCTCAATGCTTATGTGCCTCTGATCATATAAGATAATATTTAGCAAAATGAACTCTAAAAGAAGTAAAAAACAAAAACTAAGAGAAACCTCCCTCCTGCTTCCAGCAGGAGAAAAGGGGCATTGTGGAATACTTCTGTGATCAGGTCTCAACTACACCTGCTTTGGGCCCTGCAAAAGCCCTGCAGCTAAACACGAAAGTTAACACAGTTGGAGAGCTGCATTTCTTACCTTTCTTAGGACATTGTACTTCATATGCTACTTTGTTAATGATAAGCTTAAAATCCTCCATGAGTAAAACATCCATTAAAGTTGAAGCTGGAAGAGCATTGCCATCTGAAAGAAAACAATGTGAAAACATGTCTTTGCTTTAAAATTATTAGGATCACTTTCCAACCCACAGAAAATTACCAACCCACCCACGCTCTTGCAGGGCAAGGGAGGGGGGTTTGGGGGGGGGGGTCTCACACTTGTGATCCTAACTACTCTGGAAACTAAGATCAAGAGAATTACAGTTCCAGTAAGAAACTATAGTAACCAAGCTGGAAACATGGCTCAAGAGATAGATACGTACTCATTTAGCAAGTGTGAGGCCCTGAGTTCAAATTCCAGTATTGCCTGTAAGATAAACAAAATCAGCTTTTCACTGGCTATAATGACTCATGCCTATAATCCTCCTCAGGAGGATGGGATCTGAGGACTGTGGTTTGAAGCCAGCCTAGGTAGGAAAGCTGTTGGGACCCTTATCTCCAATTAATCAGCAAAAAGTCAGAAGTGGAGTGGGCTCAAGTGGTACAGCACCAGCTTTGAGAGGAAAAAAATTGCAAGAGCATGAGGCCCTGGGATCAAGCCCTATTGCTAGCATGTGTATGTGTACACACACACAGTCACACACAGGAAAAAAATCCTAGTAGCGGAAAAGCACCTCAAAGTATAACCACTGCTTGAACACGGATTCACCTACTTCCTAGCTTTGGAATACAGTGTTTGAAAAATCTAAAGGAAAGCCGGGCGCTGGTGGCTCACGCCTGTAATCCTAGCTACTCAGGAGGCTGAGATCTGAAGATCACGGTTCAAAGCCAGCCCAGGCAGGAGAGACTGTGAGACTCCTATCTCCAATAAACCAGCAGAAAACCGAAAGTGGCGCTGTAGCTCAAGTGGTAGAGCGCTCGCCTTGAGCTGAAGAGCTGAGGGACAGCGCCCAGGCCCAGAGTTCAAGCCCCACAACCGACAAAAAAAAAAAAAATCCAAAGGAAGTGAAGTGGTAGGGATAAAAGTGAACATAGCTTAGAGTTAATAAATAACCCATTTGTACACTATAAAGATACTTTCAAAAGATTTTAATCAACATCACTAAGCCTAAGAAGTAAATTTCTATTTTGTATGGTTTATTTCATGGACATGGAGAGGCAGGAGAGATTTCTATAGCAACTTGTAATATCCCAGTGATTTAAAAAAATCTGCCGGGTGCTGGTGGCTTACGCCTGTAATCCTAGCTACTCAGGAGGCTGAGATCTGAGGATCATGGTTGAAAGGCAGCTGGGGCAGGAAAGTCCTGGAGACTCTTATCTCCAATTAACCACCAGAAAACTGGAAGTGGCATTGTGGCTCAAGTGGTAGAGTGCTAGTCTTGAGCTGAAGAGCTCAGGGACTGTGTTCAGGTCCAGAGTTCAAGCCCCAAGACCAACCAACAAACAAAAAAAATTCTGCATTATACTAAATTTAATTACAGGAGCTAGAGGATGGAGTAAGGGAATGATTCTCCATTAGCTGCTGCTAATAAGACTTCTCTGTTCCTGACTGTACACTGAACTGTCCACTTTAATTCCATCACCACTCACCACCTGGTCGTGGTGTCTTACCCTCAGCCAATGTAGATTCAATGCAAACTACTTACGCTGTCTGCCAGTTTCTCAGTGCAAAACACTCTTAGCTACTACCTAGCTCTGCTGCTGGGAGTTGTAGCAGCTTGTCCTAGGACAAGATAATTAGCCTTTTTATCTAAATGACTCAGTCTCAAGAGTTTTGGTTTAGCTAGGAACATTTCAGAAAGCAATTTCTTAAGAAAATGTGACACACACACACACACACACACACAAAATGGAATTTTACTCATCAGGAAGATTATGTCATTTGCTGGGAAATGGATGAATCTGGAAAAAATTAAGTCAGGCTTAGAGAGACAAAAGAGGCATATTTTCTCTCATTATGTGGAAGTTAGATCTAAATTATAAATATATATGTATGTAAGAAGAAAGGTACATATGCACATATGCACAACATAACTAAAGTATGGTGTGTGCAGGGAGGGTTCCAATCGTGCAACTCCTTTGAACAACTAATTTACAGTTTAACAAAACAAATACATGTTCCAGGAAGCTGGAACGTGTGTTGTCAGGGTGGAGGTGAGGTTAAGGGGAAAGGGTAGAAGAGAGAGGAAGGGTGGGTGAATGTATTCATAGTATTCAATGTACACATGTGAAAATGGACCTAAGTAAATTGAGGGCATGGGAGGAGCTGGAAGAGATGGGAAAGAATGAAGGAAGGGGTGACACTGATCAAGACGCATTGCACTCACGGACAGAAGTGTTGAATTGAAACCTCTCCGTACAACTACTTAAGGGTAATAAAAAGAGAGAAAACAAATCTCTTAGACCTTTTTTAAATGCAACATGGTTTTTGGTTGATATAGCCCACTTCTGGTTTTGCTTTTGTTTTGAAGAAAGCTACAAAGTAACCCAGGTGTTAAGAAAGCAAATTCAAGCCAGTGCTGGTGGCTCATGCTTGTAATCCTAGCTACTTAGGAGGCTGAGATCTGAGGGTCACAGTTCAAAGCTAACCCCGGCAGTAAAGTCCGTAAGACTCAGCACCAATGGCCCATCAGAAAACCAGAAGTGGAGCTGTGGCTCAAAGTGGTAGAGTGCTAGCCTTGAGCAAGAGAGCTCAGGGACAGAGCCCAGGCCCTGAGTTCAAGCCCCACACCAACAACAATAACAAAAGGCAAAGCCACTGGATATTGAGTAGAAAACTAGTACCAGTTGGGGTTTTCTCCATCTGAGTTCTGTGTATTTTGTGTATTCTGTCTAGCCAGGTGTTTGCTCAGCTGGGGTTCAACCAACTTCTCCAGCTGTGGTGTGTGCCATGGCTCCTGAGGTCAGGAAGAACCCAGCTGCTGTTGCCACCTGGCGCTCCATGAATCTTTTGTTCTAGAAGGCAGCATGTCAAGTCTGCACCTGGCTCTGACGCTAGAGTCTGGCTGTTTGGGTTCCTGCTCATCATCTGGGGTGAGATCACTTCCCCAGGAATTGCCAAACAATTCAACCCACACAGTGAGCAAAACTGTGACTGCTCAGAATACTTTTGAGCCCAAGCAAATTTCACTCACAGAGTCTCTCTCTCTCTCTCTCTTTCTCTCTCTCTCTCTCTCATGGGGCTTGAACTCAGGTCTGGGTGCTGTCCCTGAGCTCTTTATTGCTCAAGGCTAAACACTCTACCACTGAGCCACAGTACCACTTCCAGATTTTGAGTGGTTAACTAGAGATAAGAGTCTCACCAGGACCTTTCTGCCTGGACAGGCCTTGAACCACAATCCTCAGGTCTCAGCCTCCTAAGTAGCTAGGATTACAGGTGTGAGCAGCCAGTGCCTGCAGTCTCTTAAAAAAGCCGGGGGCAATTAGCTCACACCTGTAATCCCAGCTACTCAGGCTATCTAGGCATCATGGTTCAAAGTCTACCCAGGCAGAAAAGTCCTGGTATGACTCATCTCCAGTTAGCCACTCAAAATCTGGAAGTGGTGCTGTGGGTTAAAGTAGTAGAGTGCTTAGCCTTAAGCAAAAGTGACTCAGGTATAGCACCCAGGCCCAGATTCACATCCCAGGATGAGAAAAATAAACATGATACCTATACACAACGGAATTTTACACAGCCAGTAGAAAGACTAATATTTTACATAATTTACAGGGAATGGATAGACTGAGAACAAATCATGTTAAATGAGGTAAGCTAAGCTCAGACAAATGGCTTTTCTCTTACATGCAGAAGCTAGACCTAAAATACACTGGGACAGGGGCTGGGAAGGTGGCTCAGTGGTAGAGCACTTGCCTTGCATGCCTGAGGCCCTGGGTTCAATTCCCAGCACCACATAAGCAAAAAAAGAAAAAAGCCGGAAGTGGCGCTGTGGCTCAAGTGGAAGAGCGCTAGCCTTGAGCTGAAGAGCTGAGGGACAGTGCCCAGGCCCAGAGTTCAGGCCCCACGACCGGACCCCCCCCTCCCAAAAAAAAAGAAAACCTAAAATACACTGGGACATGCTAATTTTTTTTTTTTTTTATCGGTCATGGGGCCTGAACTCTGGGCCTGGGCACTGTCCCTCAGCTCTTCAGCTCAAGGCTAGCGCTCTACCACTTGACCCATGGTGTAACTTCCGGCTTTTTCTGCTTATGTGGTGCTTAGGAATCGAACCCAGGGCCTCATGCATGCAAGACAAGCACTCTACCACTGAGCCACCTTCCCAGCCACAGGACATGATAAATTATACAGGACTTTAGACAGTCACACAGAGACCAAATGAGGAAATGCTTAAAAGAGAAACACAAAGTGAAATGCCTATGTGTATCTGATCAGACAAAATAATATTTATCAAAATGGAAACAACAACAAAAACCATTTTATCTAACTCTCCACATGCCATTTAAAACTTATGTAGAAATGACTTCAAATGAGCTTGTTAAAATACCACTATAAGAAAGCAGGTGCCGGGCACCAGTGGCTCACACTTGTAATCCTAGCTACTCAGGAGGCTGAGGTCTGAGGATCGCAGTTCAAAACCAGCCCGGGCAGGAAAGTCTGTAATACTGGTATCTCCAGTAAACCACCAGAAAACTGAAGTGGCTGTGGCTCAAGTGGTAGAGCACTAGCCTTGAGCTGAAGAGCTCAGGGACAGCGCCCAGGCCCAGAGTTCAAGCCCCATAACCAGAAGAAAAAAAAAAGGAAGAAGAAGAAAATAAAGAAGAAGAAAGAAGAAGAAGAAGAAAGCAGGTGTTGGTCACTGGAGGTTCATGCCCATCCATGCTGAAAAGTCTGTGAGATTCCAATTAACCAACAAAAAGCCAGAAGTGGAGGCATGGCTCAAGTAGTAGAGCACCAGCCTTGAGCAAAACATCTAAGCCAAAGCATGAGGCACTGAGGTCAAGCCTGAGTACTGGCACAAAAAGAAAACATAATAAAAAGAAATGAAATCAAGTAAATATGGTGGAAAAACATTATCCTTTATACAAATGTATGACTTAGCAAAAATGGACAGGAAACACTGTAAAGCAGCTATCTGGCTAAATTTTTCATGTACTCTTTGGCAACTATCTGCTTAAGCCTTCAATAAAATGGAATTAATTAATGTCAGTTCTTAGGAAAAGATCTTCCCTGAAATGATTCCCCATCAGACTAACCACACGGTTTTCTTGAAATCTTACAGAAAAGTCTCTCTGACTTATCTTGTCTCTTGCTTTGTGTTGTGTGTCAGCAAAGCTGTTTACTCTTTTGGAAAAAGCAGGGTGCCCGTGAACCTCCTTTATTTCAGTCATTTAACAAATACTTTCTGTGAACATACCTACCCTTGCCCAGTGCTTACCTGCTTGCTTTCTCTAGAAAACACTCATAATGTGTGACTTAATGGCTTTCTCTCTCTCTTTTTTTTTTTTTTTGTTTTTGTCATGGGGCTTGAACTCAGGGTCTGGCACTGTCCCTGAGCTTTTGTGCTCAACACTAACACTCTTACCACTTTGAGCCACAGCTCCACTTCTGGTTTTCTGGTTGTTAATGAGAGATAAGAGTCTCATGGACTTTCATGCTTGGGCTGGCTTCAAACAATTTTCCTTAGAGCCTCCTAAGTAGCTAAGATTACAGGCATGAGCCACCACCAGCACCTGGCTACTTATTACTTTTTATTTGTTGTGTTCTCTTATGAGGCTCCATGAAGACAGGAGACTGTAACTGCTTTGTTCCTTGGTCATCTCTAGTATTTAGGGAAGGGCCTGGCATGTGTTAGATGCTCAAGAAGTATTGGTTGGATGAATAAATTCTTTCATCTCCACTTTCCAGTTTCTGTATCTATCCTGAAATTGGTTCTAAACAAGAAAAATATTTTCAAAACTGCAACAGGAATCATTAAGTCATCATTTTAAGTTGATACTGTACATTTAATATTACATGAAATACTTGTGAGATTATGTCTTTGTTGCCTTGAATGTCCCTCCCCCATGGTACAACCCCTGCTTTCACTATATATGATGTTGGTATATGTAGAGGGGAAGGGAAAAAGCAAATTGTTAAAACAGGGATACAGGTGGACCCATTGCAACAATGAGATGTACAAGTCGTTAAGTCGAAAAACAAACTTTACAACTTTGGTGGGGGGGACGAGGGGGGGAATACGAAGGGCTGGAAAGGGGAAACAAAGGAGGAGGCTACAATGCTTGATAAGAAATGTACTCATTATCTTACTCATGTAAGTGTAACCCCTCTGTACAGTATTTTCACAATAAAAAAATAAAAATAAAAAAATATTACATGAAAATGGCAATGTAAGCTTATTAATTTGTATCAGGTAGCCCCCTCTGCATGCTGGCTTGTAGTGAATAATTCTTCATTCTATTTTAGGGGAGACTGGTTTAAGGCCATTTCAGGCCATGGTAAGAGAGAAGTCATATCCTCAATGGGTAATAACTTAATATGTCTAAATTATTAATCACCTCTCAGCATGGACGGGGCTTGAACTCAGGGACCAGAGCTCTTGCTTGGTTGTCTTGTTAGCTGGCACTCTACCTGCTTTTTGCTGGGTAACTGGAAATAGAAACTCTTGGGTTTTTCTGCCTGGGCTGGCTTCAAACACAGTCCTCTGGATCTCAGCCTCCTAAATAACTATGATTATAGGCATGAGCCACTGGTTCCAAGCCAGTCACCTCTGTTGGGATACGTGTGTGTGTGTGTGTGTGTGTGTGTGTGTGTGTGTGTGTAGGTACCTTCATATATGTGTGTGTGTGAAATATATGTGTTAATATGTGTGTTTATAGCAAATATATATATATATTCTTGAATATATATATATATTCTGTCAAAACATACTAGACTACCATTTCTGCATGACAAAATAAATGCACTATGTGTGCATTTAATTACTAGCTGTTTAAACCAATGGACTATACTTCATTTCCTAGTTACTCCAAATTACACCTTAATGCTGATATGGAGTGGGTGGGGAGGGGGGGAGAACCACAAAGTATTTCTTTTTTTTTGCGGGGGGGGGGGGGGGTCCAGTCATGGGGCCTGAACTCTGGGCCTGGGCGCTGTCCCTCAGCTCTTCAGCTCAAGGCTAGCGCTCTACCACTTGAGCCACGGTGCCACTTCCGGCTTTTTTCTTTTGCTTATGTGGTGCTGAGGAATCGAACCCAGGGCCTCAGGCATGCAAGGCAAGCGCTCTACCACTGAGCCACCTTCCCAGCCCCACCACAAAGTATTTCTAAGTTGGGGGAGCAAGTAACTAAACTTACATTTCATCCATTTTGTATTCAATGTGGTTATCCTTTTTAAAAATCACACTGATGTGTAAAAAGGAACTCAAGAAAGGCCAATGAACTATTCTATAATGATTTACAGAACGAAACTCTTTCTGGAAAAGAACCAACACCAGGTCCAGGAGACGGAGGAGGCCGGGACAGCGGTGCGGTGCATGCATCTGTACCTCCTGTGAGAACAGCCACATCTTTGACCCCTTTGTCTTCATTCTGCACATCCTGAAGGAAGGAGGCCACGGTGGACAGCATGGGCTTGATCACAAACTGACAGCGCTCTCTTCGGGACGGCAAGGTGAGCGTGATCACGGGAAAGCCATGTCTATAACTCACTGTTATTTCTATTAAGACAAAAAAGAGAAACACATAGCTGTGATAAACATACGCTTAAAAAAAAAAAAAAAAAAGCCTTTACACTACAAGGATTCTGCACAAAAATGGTGGGGCTGGAGGTCAACAAATGTAGCAGTGGCACTCACTTGACACTGTGTGGAAAATAAACTGTACAACTTGTTGGGGGGGAAGGAAATGGGAGGGGAAACAGAGAGGGTGAGGAAGGAGGGGCAGTTACAAAAGAAATGTACTCATTACCTGTCTTATGTAACCATAATCCCTCTGTACATAACCTTTATAAGAAGAATATTTTTTTAAAAAATACAAGAATTCTAAAAGGAGCCTTTACAGATGAAACTCCTGTCTCTGAATTCCTGTCCAAACTTCCCAGGCTCATCTGGCGCTAGTACTGCTCAGCATGGCACGGTAGCCTGTACCACACGGTGCTATGTTTCTGCCACAGCTCTCACAGTAAGCACTGAGTGCATGAAGGAGAAACTATCTTACTCATCTCTAGCTACTGGGGCGGCCATGTGCCAAAAGACTCACTAACTAGAGATATTAGAGGAGAAGGAAGCCTGGTGCTAGTGGCCTACGCCTGTAATCCTGGGTATTCGGGAGGCTGAGATCTGAGGATCATGGTGCAAAGCCAGCCAGGTCAGGACAGTCTATGAGACGCTTATCTCCACTAAACTACACATACCCCCTCTCTCCTCCCAGAAAAAGCCAGAAGTGGTGCTCAAATGGTACAACCTTGAGAGGAAAAAAAAAAAAAGCTCAGGGACAGTGTCAGGCCCTGAGTTCAAGTCCCAGGACTGACACCACAAATAAGAAGAATAAAAGTAAAACAGAGGAGCAGGGAGGGGAGACACCCCAGTAGGAGGCGGAGTATGCTGGGGAGGAAGGGAGGGAAGAATGAGAGAGGGAAGAAGGGAAGATAGGAGAGAGGGAGGGGGAGACAAGTCTGTCCTGCTCCAGCCTCCCAGTTCCATTTTCTTTTTTTTTTGGGGTCCGGTTGTGGGGCCTGAACTCTGGGCCTGGGCGCTGTCCCTCAGCTCTTCAGCTCAAGGCTAGCGCTCTACCACTTGAGCCACAGCGCCACTTCCGGCTTTTTTTTTTCTTTTTGCTTATGTGGTGCTGGGGAATCAAACCCAGGGCCTCATGCATGCAAGGCAAGTGCTCTACCACTGAGCCACCTTCCCAGCCCTCCATTTTCTTTAGAAGAACAGAAATCACCAATTAGCACCGGAAGCAAAGAAGTGATCGGTTGCTTACCATCAGGTGGCGCCACTGTCCCATAACGGTGTGATTGGGAGAATTCTGGATTTCCACACAGCCTCACACACAAAATCTGCAAGATATATGATGATTTCTTTATTTTCTTTTTTTGGTCAGTCATGGGGCTTGAACTCTTGGTCAGGGTGCTGTCCATGAGCTCTAACTCAAGACTAGCACTCTACCACTTGAGCCACAGTGCCACTTCCATGATTATTTCTTTGTTTTGTTTTGTTTTTGGGTCCGGTCATGAGCCTGAACTCTGGGCCTGGGCACTGTCCCTCAGCTCTTCAGCTCAAGGCTAGCGTTCTACCACTTGAGCCACAGCGCCACTTCCGGCTTTTTTTTCTTTTTGCTTATGTGGTGCTGGGGAATCGAACCCAGGGCCTCAGGCATGCAAGGCAAGCGCTCTACCACTGAGCCACCTTCCCAGCCCTCCATGATTATTTCTTTAAGAATAATAATAATAAAAAAAAGCAGGAGATCTGAAATAAAGAAGATTCCCTCTTGTTTGAACTCAAAAGTCTTTACACTTGCTGGGCTTGCTTGCTCAGCTAGCATTCTGCTGCCTGAGCCATGCCTCCAGTCCAGCTTTTTGCTAGTTAATTGGAGATGGAGTCTCATAGACTTGAACCATGATCCTCCATGTCTCAGCTTCTTCAGTAGCTGTGACAACAGGTATGAGCCACAAATGCTTGGCCAGAAGATTCTTTTTTAACCTTGTATGACAAGCATGATGAAAAGCAAACCTCCCATCTAAGCTGGGGTAGGGCCATTCAGAAAAACATTGAACCTTTCTGGCCATTTGCTTGCCTGCCACTCTGTATGCTGTAGCAGTATCAGTGGGACAGGATTCTCAAAGTGTGGTGTGAGGATGACAGTATATCAGACATACCATAAACAAACAAAAAGCTAAAATTGTTACCTAAGTCTTAGTCTGTGTTTCCCCTGAAAGCAAGCCTAAGACAAGAATTGAAGAATAGTTTTAAAGAACATTGTTATTATAAAAATGATTTATATAGCCAGGCACTGGTGGCTCATGCCTGTAATCCTAGTGTTCAGGATGGGCTGAGATCTGAGGATCTCGGTTCAAAGCCAGCCGGGAAGGAAAGTCCTTGAGACTCTTATTTCCAATTAACCACCAGAAAACCGGCTGTGGCTCTGGCTCCAGTGGTAAGGGGAGCTCTTCAGCTCAAGGCAAGCACTCTATCACTTGAGACACAGCACCACTTCCGGTTTTATGGAGATAAGAGTCTCAAGGACTTTTTGGAACTGAGATCCTCAGATCTCAGCCTCCTAAGTAGCTAGGATTACAGGCGTGAGCCACCAGTGCCCGGCTTAAATTTTTTTTTTTTTTTTTTGTCGGTTGTGGGGCTTGAACTCTGGGCCTGGGTGCTGTCCCTGCGCTCTTCAGCTAAAGCGAGTGCTCTACCACTTGAGTCACAGCACCACTTGCGATTTTCTAGAGGTTTATTGGAGATAAGAGGCTCACAGACTTTCCTGCCTGGGCTGGCTTTGAACTGTGATCCTCAGATCTCAGCCTCCTGAGTAGCTAGGATTACAGGCATGAGCCACCGGCACCTGGCTACTTAATTTTTTTTTTTTAATGATGCACATAGAGGTTCCAGTTACGTAAGTCTGGTAAAGATCACTTGTTTTTAGACAATGTCAGGCTTTCTCCCAGTTTTTCCCTTCTGTCCCTTCCCCCCCTCCACACACACACCGTGTCTAGTGAGTACCCCTGCTGCATTTTGGGGAGTCGTTTTGCTGGTTGGTGATCCGATGAGGAGGAGAGAGAATGGGAGGCTTGAGACAGGAAGGAAGAAAAGCCAACAGAAGAGCAAGAACCACAGACAACAGGAGACACATGCTGCAGGACTCATGAGAAATATCTCCAACCATCGGAGGTTTCCTGAGCCAGGTAAATGGTGCCTCTCTTCCCTCCTTGGAGAGGTGTAGACATGGCGGCAGGGCTAGGATAGTGAGACTATTCCATAGCTCTTCCAGGGTACATAAAGTCCAGAGACTCAGTGAACCCCCCAGTCCCCATGCTGCCAAAGAGGACGCGGGAACAGAAAGCAGATGGCCTGGTGCGGCCCCCATTGGAGATAAGAGATACAGCAAACGCGTGTAACAACGGAAGGTCCCGAGACACACGAGACACAGAGCGCCAAGCGACACGTGAACACAGGACGACTCGGGCTATTCCCAGAAATGACAGCAAGCCACTGTCCTTCCTGATCCTCCCCCAAACAGTCGAGAGCACCTTGATCTAAAGTATTAAAAACAGATTAAAAAAATAAAAAGGAGGGGGAGGAAAAATCCCTGCCTACTCCTTATTATGGGCTTAATAAATATCTAATTCGATTTTACCTCTACAAAGAGGTTTAACTGTAACATTATTTATAACAGGAAAACGCTGGAAACAATCCAACCGTCCAATAATAGTTGGAGGGTTAAATAAATTATGAATGTATAAAGTATGATTATGCATCCATTAAGGTTGTTTTCCAAGGACCAGAGATGTAGCTTGGTGATTAAGCATGCTTACCTAAAATGCACAAGGTCCCATTTGGTCCCCAACATGACAAAAGAAAATTGTTTTTGCTAGGTGGGGCTCATGCCTGTCAAGTCCCAGCTACTGGGAGGTAGAGATTAGGAGGATGACAATTTTTGCCAATACAAGTCAGTGAGACCTTCTATCTTAACAATTTGGAAGTGGGTGCATGTAAGAGGAACTGGAACATGCCTGTAATCTCAGCTATGTGGGAAGCTTAAGTACAACGATCACAGTCCAAAGTCACCTAAGCAAAAAGAGATCTGAAAAATAACACAAAAGCAGTAGCAACCGGAATTGCTCATCACAGCCTAGATGTCCTGTTCAACAAACAACTTTATGATTCAATTCGCATCTCCAAGATACCTCAATACTAGGAAAGCATGGCCTCACTTACGACAGATAACATTTCTGACTGCAATATGTATTAGTGCTTTTTTTTGTTTGTTTTTGTTTGTTTTGGAGCCTGAACTCTGGGCCTGGGCGCTGTCCCTCAGCTCTTGAGCTCAAGGCTAGCGCTCTACCATGTGAGCCATAGCGCCACTTCCAGCTTTTTTCTTTTTCTGTGGTGCTGAGGAGTCGAACCCAGGGCCTCATGCATGCAAGGTAAGCGCTCTACCACTGAGCCACCTTCCCAGCCCTATTAGTGTTATTTTAAAAGGGGTCTAAGATTTTCCCAAGGAGAACCCAGTTCTCACTAAGGCCACCCACCATGCGAACTGACAAAATCAGACTTTGAGAATCACCAAGAATCATCTGTGATCATTCAGAGGCGGGGTGCTAGTGGCTCATGCCTGTAATCCTAGCTACTCAGGAAGCTGAGATCTGAGGATCATGGTTCAAAGCCAGCCAGGGCAGAAAAGTCCCTGTGCAGCTTATCTCCAAGGAACCACTCAAAAATTGGAAGTGGAGCTATGGCTCAGAGTGGCAGAGTGCTAGTCTTGAGCACAAAGAGGCTCAGGGGCAGTGCCCAGACCGAGTTCAAGCCCCATGAGACACACACACACACACACACACACACACACACACACACACACACACGATCACTCAGAGGACACACACACACACACGATCACTCAGAGGGCACACACACACACACACGATCACTCAGAGGACACACACACACACACACACATGATCACTCAGAGGGCACACACACACACACACACACGATCACTCAGAGGACACACACGATCACTCAGAGGACACACACACACACGATCACTCAGAGGACACACACACACACACACACACACACACACGATCACTCAGAAGACATACACACGATCACTCAGAGGACACACACACACATACACACGATCACTCAGAGGACACACACACACACACACACACACACGATCACTCAGAAGACATACACACGATCACTCAGAGGACACACACATACATACACACGATCACTTAGAGGACACACACACACACACGATCACTCAGAGGACACACACACACACACACACACACGATCACTCAGAAGACACACACACGATCACTCAGAGGACACACACACACATACACACACACGATCACTCAGAGGACACACACACACACACACACACGATCACTCAGAGGACACACACACATACACACGATCACTCAGAGGACACACACACACACACACACACACGATCACTCAGAAGACACACACACGATCACTCAGAGGACACACACACATACACACGATCACTCAGAGGACACACACACACACACACACACACACACACGATCACTCAGAGGACACACACACACACACACACACACACACAGGATCACTCAGAGGACCCCCAGAGATGAGGTCAAGCCACCTCCACAGACTACTTGGCTTCCTCCAGTACCACTATAAAGGCCTGGACTTCTTGAAAACTTCACGCTTCTGAGTTTAAAAGACTGAGCTTTGGAAAAGGAGAGTAAAGGCTGTGCTATGGCTACCCCACCCCCAACCCCCCACAACTCATTGAAATTGAATCCTCACGAGATAAAAGGTAGGAGCAGTGGGTCGAGGCGACCGGCCAGGGAGGCTCTGCCTTCACTGAGTAGTTTCATTCATGCATGGATTAAGGAGCTAACACAGTATCTCAACAGTGTGCTATGAAAGCCAGTTTGCACTGACTCTGGTGGGTGCCCTGCACCTGCACCGTCTGACACTGCAGTTCAAAGGCCCTTGCCAGGTGGGCTCTCGGCTAGGAGATCCTGGCCTTATAAAGCAACCATTTGGATTGTTTCCACAACTCCCAAGAGACCTTAGCAGACATCCAGACAAGATCAAAGAGAAGGGTCAAAGTGAGGAGGGATGGACTGGGAGTGAGAATGGAAACTGCAAGTTTCATTGACTTGACTGCCAATTCCACTATGAGCCACCATATTTACTTTGTTCTTTGAACACCTTTGGTTACGAATGTGTCTACTTTTACCTTTTTATTTCCCCAAATGAAGAGACAGTTTGATGTCTTAAAACACACAGACACACAGACAAATGTTAAAGACATTCAATAGTTTTTCATGCC